CCACGTCTGGTCACATGCCTGGAAAACTGGTAGCAGCTCCAGGAGAAAAGATGGCAGGAGCCAGTGGCTGCTCTGAGCTGTTACTCCAGTATGCCTCTGCCCAGAGGCGATGATCCCTAGGAAGGGCTGCAGCTGGCAGCAGCTGCTCTGTCCACATGGAAACGTGTGAATATGAAACAAGTGCTCCTCGCCATCACTGGGCATTTATTCCCAAAGCCCAGCCTTAGCCCCACTTGCTTTCAGTGGTGCGGTGATCTGTGGGATGGTAAATTCATAGAAGAGGTACTTTAAAGAGCCATGTACTATTGTTCAGGTCCTGTATACATTAAATATTAATTGTTGTCTCTCCATGAATGCTTACTAAAACAGCAAAGCAAAACTTTGTGGTTCTCTCCTTAACAAATCACCACTTAAAGAGCAACAGGCTGATAAACATATTGTGAAAAGAAAGCCATAGTTATTAGTCCCAGCTCTAGAACAGAATATGCCAGTCTCAATATCCCTGGTAACTCTATTCTTACAATCTGCTAGCAGTTCTCGCTTAACTTTATTTCATTTCCTTACTCTAAAAACCAAGCTGTCAGGTATTTCACATTTCTTCTAATGAGGCATATGGTACACGCACAGGAGTTTCAATGCGCTTATTAATAATTTATAATGACTTAAAACAGAGAGACTTCAAAGCAGTTGCTGCATTTGCAGACTCCTCTAAGTTAGCTACATCTCTTCTTGTTCTCATGCATTCTAGTCCACATTCCACAGTCTGCTTGGATATTTCTGGGCTGAAATGTGATTATTTGGAGCAAAGGCTATGAAAAGGAAACAAATGCTGCTCCTGTTCCACTTAGACTCTTGCATCCTAAATCTCAAAAATAGCACTCCATTCGTATTTATAACTTTAAAAATGTATTTTTGGCTATGTCACAAACAGACCTCACCTCCATAGATCTAATGCCATCTAATTCTGGAAGTCAGTACTTTAAGCTGGCTTTACAGTATATACCCAAGACTCTATGCACTGCAAATAGGAATGCCTTTCCCATACTGAAATGTGCCATGCCTTAATATTCAAGCATAACTGCATAGGAAAGGGGTGCTCTGAGCATGTGTTGAGACTTTAGAAACCCCAAAAATCTTAATTTTGGCTCTGCCATAGATTTATACTTACGAGTGTGACAGAGTTTTTTTAAAGAGACACAGTCAATTTAAAAGAAATCCAAATTCTCTACCAGAAAAGAACATCTGCATTTTACTGAGCTGAAATTGTTGATGGAAGAAACATTTTCCCACGTTTGGGTAATGTTTCCATTTCAGGCTAATCAGTCAATTTGCCTTTTAAGTTGGCAGGTCTGGCACACAGTCAGAAGGAGGACATAGGACTAAGGAAACTAAAATCAGAAAGTGAATGCTAAAACTCAGCTATTTATAGTGAGCATCTATTAATAGCAAGCACTGCAGATACAGAACTAGCTCTGAACTCACTCAAATACTAGAGACATATAGAGTTTGTAGCATGGTTTACCACAGGTAGACTAACATACCTTCCTGAGGGCACCTGGTGACTGCTTCTAAAACCACTCCGGTATTCCAGTGTGCACACTGTGGATGTACGTGGAGAGACAGAAGGTTACACGCAATCAGACTTGGCTCATTTTAGTGACAGTTGAGGACGTTTGCCAGGCTCTCAGTCTCAATTTGTCTATCTGTAGGTGAGAGATAACAGTACCCATTTTGGAGAGATGTTTCAGGACGGAATTAATATGCACAGAGTACTCCGAAGATTAAAAAAGCTAATTTACATTTTGCTTAGATAACAAGAAACTTTGAAAGCAGTAGTGTCTTCACAGAGACATTCCCTTTTTCAGTAATGTAGGACTTCATTTACATTACTAGTAATTTGTATGCAGTGAATTTATTTAAGTTCTAATTTTACTTTTTGCATGGTGGCAGTTGAGTCACAAGTTGGTTACGAAAGCACTCGCCAGTCACTTCTTCAAAATGCATTAGCTACTCAGTGCTGGGCCCACAGTCCCGTAACATGCTCTGCGCAGGTGACTGGCCAGCATCCACATGGAGCCCTCAGAGGCCAGAGGAGCTTTGCTCCAGCTCGGCCAGCTCTCTGCAGCAAATTACGAAGGAAGGAGCTGGATGCCGGGTCACTCAAGCTTCCCAGCCAACTTTGAATCAGACTCTGTGTTGAATCAGACGGGTCAAACCCCACCTGGTTTGTAAAGTAACTCCCTGTCCTGGTGCCCGACAGTATTGCCATGGAGGAGAGCTGTCACTCCATCCTGGACAAGCAGAGCACTAACAAGCTGTATCACATAGGAACAGCTACCTTGTACCAATCAGTATTGAGCCATCTGAGTTTACAGAGGTTGTCTATCTCTACAGCAAAGTCATTTAGTCCTATATAGGCAGGCAGAAGATGCATGCCTGTAAAGACAGTAACCGTTTTTCTCCCACAATCACTTTCCCATGTCTGTGAGGGGGGAGCAAAATACAGAGTGCATCCTCTGCGTTCGGAAGTTAATCTGCAAGGAAGCCCTGTACTCACGTAGTTTTCCATATTATACTCCTAATCCGATTACATAGCCTCAGTTTTAATATCTTAACTGATATGATGGCATTAAACAGCAAAAGTCAGTTTCCCTGACAGAAATAATTAACAGCCTTGTGAATTCATTTAACTGGACATAACTCTCTGCTTATTCTTTTCCAAAGCCTCCTGGTAAGTCATTCATAGGAGATCAAGGGGCTTCTTCTCCCCACCTATGAAGTTTTTTCACAAGTAGCAATTTCTCAATAGGGCATTATTATAACGGTAATTTAAAAGCTATTTTTATTTCTTGCTACTAGCCATCAAACCTTATTCCTGGCGTTAGATACCGCCAACATGATAATTGAGAATTTATAAATAGCAGTGAGTGAAATGTGTGTTTTCTAATTTACTGCTGTTGTCAAAAAGGAATCACTCTTACAAAGGTCAATTCTGTTGTTACTGGGCTATTAAGCTTCTGCTGAGCTGTCAACTATAGTACTGAGCCTTATTTTTGTGCAAAGGTAGGGCTTTCTCCTTTCATTCAGGCAATCACTCAAGCCTTCCACTGAACGGAAAGCTGTTGTACTTGTGCCTTTAATGTACACAAATAGATGAGAGCTGGTCTTACTCCAAATATTTTTTTTTTCTAGAATTCATGTCATTATTACCTATTTTAGGTCTTTTTCCCCCCCTCTTTTTTGTCCTGTATACAAACCTGCTCTTCTATGTTTCTCATTCACAGGCTGTTAGAAGATGTGGACGTCAGGCCTTCTGACATGGCCCTCTTCAAAATTCATGCTTCTGTTCCTACTAACAGTTTCCTAAAATCTGGGTTTCAACATTTTTCAAAGCTATGCAGCAATTTTATGTGCTCAACTTGAGGTGTCACTGGCCTGATTTTACACGCAGTCAGTATTTTCGTGTTTAGACTATCAAAATCAGGCCCCTGCTGCCTTTGGGCACAACCAGGAGTGCTCTGCACTTGTCTACGTGTAACTGTGCGCTTTATCAAAGGAAGTACCCAGAAATGAACACATACAATGCAATGATAGTCACCTAAAAACTTTAGCTTCAGGATCTTTTCCGTTATCACCTAGCAGATTTTTACAGAAAAAGCAAGAGTTCATTTGTTAGAAAACAGCTCCTGCTCCAGAGCAAGAGACAATAGTGCTTCTCAAGGGAGGTATTGCATGGCTATTTCTTTGGAAGCAGAAGACATATTTTTGAATTTTCTTTTTTTAACCCAGATCATTTCAGTGACCTTACTCACAACACTGTCTCTCAGAGAGCTGCACAGGACCAGCTAAAGGGACGCTACAGAGGCAGGGGCAGGAGCAATAAGGGTTAGAAGTCTCTTATATCAACTTTGCCGTGCGACTGTTCATGCAAGCAGTAACCCTCGTGATACAGCTATCAAAACAAATATGCTGAGGAAGAAAAGTCTGCTTGCCCCTCATTCTCAGAAACCTTTTTAATTGAAAACGTGAGAAACACCCAGCGTAAGAAAATTCTGTCTTGAGGGGTTCAACTTTTTGCAAAAATGATCACGCAAAGCTTTTCCCATCAGCACTTCCTGTGATGAAAACAGATGGCGGGCCGAGATAGCTCTCCCTGCTTGACAGCAAAAAGGAAGAAAATAGACAAGTGGGAAGAATTTAGACAAGCAACAGCTCGTGGATTGCATTTCCGTGTTCGTGCACAAATCCTCTTACTATCCAAAGCTCCTCACTTGCCAGCCAGCCCGAGCCAAAGATAGCCCTATTGCCTTCAACAGTCTCCACCGAGTCGAACATCACCGAGGCCCAGCAGGCTTGGGAGGCATGACCCCCCTCCAGGCTCTTCCCTCTTCCCGGCCATTTCTAAAAGC